GAGGGGCCAGGCGGCCACGGGAGGCCAAGGGGCTGCCTGTGGCCCGGGGGGAGGACTCTGCTCGCGGGGGTAACTCTATGGGGTGGGGGAGTGCCTGGGCTCCCAGCCTGCGTGGTGCTGGGGGGCAGGGCCTGCCCTCAGGGGTCTGTGCAGTCTCCCTCCTGGCTCAGTGCAGAGCAGAGGCCCCGGGCTGGGGAGGAAAGGGGGTTGGAGAGCCCGCCCTGTGCTCACCCCACAGCAGTGGCTCCTGACTGCAAGGCTGGGCCTGCTCTGCTCCGTGGGCTCTTGCTGCTCGCAGAGTCGGAGCCCACCGCGGTGCCACGCGCATCCCCCTCCTGCGGCGCCCTGCCCGGCCCCCTTCCCGCGGGTGGCATTTCACCGGCCGGGCCGCGCACACAAGGCAGAGACGGGGGGAGGGGGCCCTCTCCCCCAGCCTGTGTTGTACATAAAGCCCCAGCCCTGGAGCCCACCCGCCCTGGGTGCTGAGACAAGCGCAGGCAGCCGGACCCAACACACCTGCCTTTTAAAGCCCATCGTAAGTTGCTTTAAAATCCTGGGCAGGCCCACGCAGAGCGCCCAGCACCCGCTCAGCCTTTAAAGGGGCGAGTGTATTCACAAAGCAAACAGCCGAGGCGTTCCGGAGCACCCGAGAAACCAGACAGCCCGAGAACGGCTTCCCGGGATTCCGCGGGGGGCGGGCTCAGCGCAGAGGAATGGATCCAAACGCCAAACCAAAGAAACCAGCCTGGTGGGGTCTAGTACAACAGCCCCGTCTGCTCCAGAGCCGCCCTCCCAGGGTCCGGTCCAAAGGCACACGTCCCTTCTCTGGGCACGGTCCCTGCCTGGTTCAGTTCATCTCCCCACCTCCTGGATTAAAGCTCCCGCAAAGGAGACTCAATCAGGCCACCTGTTTCAAACCCGGCCTCACCCCTTCTTCCCACTGGCTCCCTGCCAGCACTTCCTGGGGCTTCTCAGGGCCTGCCTGACTCCGCGTTTAACCCTTTATAAGCAAAACTGAAACACCAGCCATGGTCCAGCAGCACTTCATTCCCCAGGCTGCAGGTGAGGATGGGGGGGGGGGGACTGGGCCTGGCTCCCTGCCCTGCCCCTGCCCTGCCCTGCCCCTGCCCTCCTGCTCGCTGCACTTTGTGGGTAGTGACTGAGCAGAGCCCTATCGGGCCAGGTATTGCACATCCCATTACTGCAACCGCCGCACACAAGCAGCCTTGCCCCTCTGAGCCCCTGCTCACCCCGCCCCCATGGGATCTGTGGGGCCAGTGCTCCGGGTGGGGGCAGTGTGCGGCGCCCCTGTGCCTAGGGAGCAGAGGGAGATGCCCCTCTTCCCAGGAGCTGGGCACATCCTGCCTGCCCATGCGGGTGGCCACCACGCTTGATGTGCAGGGTCCCTTTTCGACCGGACCATGGGCCGTCCTAACCTGGAAGAGCTGACGGCCGCAGCCTGGGGAGAGCTCCCCCAGCAGGGAGGTGGGAAGGCCTAGCTGTGCTAAGCTGCAGCCCCGGTGCATGCACCGTCAGGGGCTCATAAGAACATAAGAACAGCCGTACTGGGTCAGACCAAAGGTCCATCTAGCCCAGTGTCCTGTCTGCCGACAGTGGCCAGCACCAGGTGCCCCAGAGAGGGTGGACCGAAGACGATCAAGCGATTTGTCTCCTGCCATCCCTCTCCAGCCTCTGACACACAGAGGCCAAGGACACCATTTTATCCCCTGGCTAATAGCCTTTTATGGACCTAACCTCCATGAAATTATCCAGCTTCTCTTTAAGCTCTATTATAGTCCTAGCCTTCACAGCCTCCTCTGGCAAGGAGTTCCACAGGTTGACTACACGCTGTGTGAAGAAGAACTTTCTTTAATTAGTTATAAACCTGCTACCCATTAATTTCATTTGGTGTCCTCTAGTTCTTCTATTTAGGGAACTAATAAATAACTTTTCTTTATCGGCTCGATGGCCAGGTGCTTAGTGGCTTTACAGACGGGAACTTTGCTGCTGGAGCAGAGGCTGGAAGCGCCAAGGACAGAGGCTGCCGGCCCACAGCGCCCCGTGCCTGAGCCCCAGGGCAGGTCACTCCGGGGTAGGATGTCAATGCCACGGCCACCCGTGGGCAGCTGAGGGTGGATCTGAGACTGCCGCGGCGGGGATCTCGGCGGGTGGGCTGCGGGGTCGCCCCGCTGGGGGC